TACTATGCCCACCTACAGAGACCAAAGAAAACAAAAACCTCAGTCAAGGAATCATCAGCATTATTATAAAGGTTGAGTCAAAAGTATGTTTACAAACTTTGTATGCATGTTCCTGGATCAAAAATAAGAAAAAATGTTCTTATGAACACATGGTAGCAAATGCTTCTTTTTCAAACTAATAGCTAAAAATAAGTTTCAATGTATGCCTTTATTGCCAAGTATAAGGACTGGGATGTTTCTTTATAACAGATGCTCAAAGGTTGCTCCTCCATTCTCTGCACGTGCCCAAGCACGACATACACAAGACTGACGGATTTGTTCGTACACACCAGGGTTTCCTCGAATCATCTGGCATGCATTCTGCACATGTTCCCACAGGTCGTCTTCATGGTTTATGCGTGTTGCATGAACGACGGACTTCAAGTGACCCCACAGATAAAAGTCCAATGGAGTCAGATCTGGTCACCTCGGTGGCCATGCTATGGGCTACCACATCAAATCCGTCGCTGAAGTTACTTCTCACTGAGATGATCTCTGACGCGATGGGAAAAGTGTGCTGGGTCTCCGTCATGCATAAACCACATCTGTCTTCTTGTATTCAGTGGTACATCTTCAAGGAGACGTGGCAAGTGTCCTCTTAAGAATCGCCAATATGAAGGTCCTCTTAGACGCGATGGAAGCATGTTTGGACCAAGAAGCATGTCGCCAGCAATTCCTGCACAAACGTTAATTGAAAATCTTTGCTGGAAGCTGGATTCACTTCGACATAAGGTTATTTATTGAAACTTATTTTTGGCTCTTATTTCGAAAATGAAACATTTTCTACCACAAGTTCATAGGAATATATTTTCTTATTTTTGATCCTGGAACAGGCACACAGAGTTTGTAAACATACTTTTGACTCACCCTGTATGTATTTATAGTAACTGAGAATTACTGTTTAAAGTAAATTCTTCCACTGTGTAGGAATGGGATAAGCAATACTCTTTTGGTGCTACCTTAAATACTTTTAAGTCATGATTTAAACTTTTTATGGTAGGAGGAAGATTACTGAATAATTCAATGCCAGTGCAGCAAATTCCTTTTTGAAATTTGCTGAGTTTAGCATTTGGCACATTAAGGTTATGTCTGCATTTTGTATTTATATTGTGTACATCTGAATTTGTTTAAAATTTTCCATGCTGTCCACAGCAAATGACATTAATGAAAATAACAATTTGCTAGCTAGCAGGAGAATATTAAACTTCTTAAATAATTCCCTACAACAGCCTCTCCCTTTTAAGCTTGCCATTATTCTAACGATTTTCTTTTTTTCTGTTTGTTGAATTTCCCCATAATATTATTCTATATGACATAACGGAATGAAAATTAAGCAAAGTAGAACTAATTTTGAAGTTTCTATTTTTGTGATTTCCTTACAGCAAAACATCCTGAACACAGTTTAGGGCTATTATACTGAACATGTTTTCAAACTTAAGTTACTGCCAGTTTGAATGACAATAAATTTATCTGTTTCTGTTTCTTCAATTGTTTTATTATTGTACCCTATGTTCATATCAACACAAGTTTTCCTGTTAGGACATACAGCAAAATACCAAGTTTTGAACCTTGAGGAATTCCATATTTTATAACACCAAATGTCTTTTCAAAGTGTAAACAGTTTTATTTGTATGCATGATTTTATATATCAATACAATGCACGGTATGCAAGGTTTTGAGATTATAACACCCCAGTTTGAGTAGGTAGTATGGTATAAATCTGATTATTTTATTTCTACTGGCTGTTTCCTGTCACAAAGGTATTATTTAAACCACTGTCCAGCTATACTCAAATTCAAGTTTTGTCAGTAATAATTCACAATACACACAATAAAATGTTTTAGTTGTATCAAAAGATATTCTGCCAACATGCAATTTGTTATTAAAAGGATGAAAGATTTTGTTTGTATAAGGCTTTATCTGTTGAGATTTTTTTTCTAAATCCAAATAGTTCATCCAGAAGGATGTTGATCAAGTTTAAGAAATAACTTACTCTTTTATACATGCCTTTCTCACATGTTTCAGAGAGTAATTAAACTGGTCTGTAACTGGATACACAAGATTTTCACTTTTTTAATTCAGAGGTCTCACTTTTGAATATTTAAAGTCATTCTGGGAAACTTATTGCCACAGATTGATTGTACAGGTAACTTAAGGGAGCACTAATATAGTCTGCACAGCTTTGGAGCCACGCAAATGTTTCGATTTGAGAGAATTTATTACATTTTTAATTTTAATTGCTGCTGGGTATAAGATTTGTATTTGGGAAGGCCTTAGGTATAGCTTCACCAAGATATTTTGTTGCACCTTCTGTCACGTTTCTGGTGTCATTGTTTATAGCTTCTACAACTGTTAAGAAGTAAGTATTAAAAGAGTGTGCTGTGAGTTTAAGAACCTTTATTGCATTGTAATTTATCTTTACTGATGGGGTTGCTTCTTCTGTAGAATATCTGTTTCTTCTTTCACAATTTTCCAAACTTTTTTTACTTTATCAGACTCCAATATCTGTTTGTTATACTGCATATGTTTGGCCACTTTAATGACCTGAGTTAAAAAATTTCAATATTAAATGTAGTGAATTTTCATTGTTATGTTGCTACTATATTGGATATTTAGGTAAAGGTTTTTTTTTATGTTTACAAGATGTTTCGATGCCTTTGGTTATCCATTCATTATTATTAAACACCCTTCTCTCTGTTTTGGTGGGAAAACTTGTTTCATAAGATCTTAAGATGTTTAAGATTGTGTTAAATTTTGAATCTACATCATATTTGCTTAATACTGATTCCCAAGTTTCATTACTTAGATGTGTTGCAAATTATTTAATAGTGTCAACATTTGAAAGTCTAGTTTGTTTCTTATAATAATAACCACTGGAAGCTGGTTTCATATTTTTTATAACTAAAGTTGAGCATTATGATCAGATAGCCCATGTACCACTGGTTCAAAAGAAATATGTGAGCTTTCCTGGAACTGTCTACAAAAATATGAGATAGGAGTTGGAGGAGACTGGATTTTGTTGACCCAGGACAGGGTCCGGTGGAGGGCTTTGGTTAATTCGGTGATTAACCTTCGGGTTAGGTAAGCCATCTAGTTAGTTAGTTAGTCTATAAAAACATTATCAATGGCAGTACTAGAGTAATTTTTAATTCTTGTGAGGAAATTAACTACTGACATGAGATTAAATTATGTTAGTAGAAAGTTCAGACATTGTTTGTGGTAACTTTCAGTAAGATAATCAATATTTGTCACCACAGACAACAAAATCTGTTTTAGGTTTGAAGAGATAATTTATGATACTTTGTAAGTTATAGTTTAAAATCACCTGTGGGTGCTCTGTATATAGCTAGAACATATATGTTGTAGAAAGTATATTCTACTTGTACAGCTAAACACTCTATGTCCTGTTTATTGTAATGATGTATTATATCTGCCTCATTGAATTTTAAGTCCTTTCTGACAAAGATACTCACTCCTTTTGCCAGTTTTGTCTGCAGTAACTAACTCCTAGAGTATATTTGTTTAGATTAACCTGTAAGATCTCTGGTGCTTTTGTATGATATTCAGTTGCACAAAGAATATAGGGGGAATGTGCATTATGAACAGGTACTGCTAATTCATCAGTTTTGTTTGACAGACCTATAACATTTAAATGATACATTACAGAATTGTTATTTTGATTGTATTCTAAATTTAAGATTGGCTTATTTAAAGTGATATGGATATCATTTAAGTATTTAGTTACAGATTTGGGGTTTAACCTAAAACAGGCCATTTTCTTATACCAGTGATTACAGGAATCTTGCCAGAATCTGGTTTGCATCCAATGGTGTTAACAATGGGCTGCACTAGCTTCTACTCACCCCTTGAATTAGGGTGCAATCCATGTCTGGTGTGGTCACATCTATCTAAAGTTGACACATCAATTAATCCAATATGGAATCTGTCTGCATTCCCTAGCACATACTCAAGTCTCAAATTTGCCCTCCTCATCCATTTGTTCATACGAGACCTGTCATGATGCTAAAGAACACCAACAAAACTGACATTTGGCAATGCTGCCCAAATCTTTATCAATTCTGTAATTAAAGTCCCTATGAAGGATATTTCCTGGCCCTCCCACAATGATTACATGATCATCCTCAGTAAAGTCTTTACTTATAGCTTTAAGTTCCCCGACAATACTGTTAGATGTAGCATTGGGTTTCAAAACATTTGTAATCATATCTTAATCCCCTATGATTATGTGAAGAGGTTCACATAATCCTCTGCTATGACTACTACCTCGCTGGGCATTACTATATTCTTTCTTGTTTATTATAGTTTTTGGATCTTCCTTCTTCAACTAGACAACTCCTGAAAGTTCTGACACAGTTAATGCCTCAAATCTGTTACTCAATTTCATATTAAATTTCAGATCCTTAATGGAGCAAGAACTTGTATCTTCACCATGATTTGGCTCTAACAACAAGTGGGCGAGCAGTTACATTTATAACCAGAGCTGTTTTCAGCTTTCATACAAGCAATCTGATTAAATGCCAATGCCAATTCCCTCTGCAGATCAAAATAATTCCCTCTTGTTCCCCAACTATTCAACCTTGTTTACATGTCAAACAGAAACATGGCTTTGTTAAATCTACCTCACTAATAATGGTGTTGGAACATTCCCCATGGAACCACCAATTACATTTATCACATAATAAACTTCTGTTAACTTTCCTTCAGCAGAAGCCACATTTGCCTGATAACTCATTGGATTTATTCTTACCTGTCATATCTTAAAAATTACTTTATTCACATTCGTAACAATAACAAAACAAGTGCGACAAATGCATGATATTATAGTACCTGTGGTAGGAATTACGGGCTGTCATATTCATTTTCACAAAATTTTACACAAACTAGTCCCATACTAACTAGCGACCTTGTAGTATTATAGTTCAATATAAAATAACACTTACCCAAACAATTGTGCTAGGTTATAAAAAATCAAATACCCTCTGATTACACCGCTGAGCTCTCGACTTGGTTTGCATTTTGATTCTGATGTCATTACAACTTCTATTGATTTAATAGCACCTGAAAAATACCTCACATCAATTACACAAACAAATTAGCAGTTTCACACAATTCAACTGCAGTGTAATGGTCAAAGATGACGATGATCACAGATTATAGGTCTACATAGAAAACTGTTCATCCAAAGATTACTAAAGTTCTGAAATGGTCACTGCAAACCAATGGTTATAGTCGTAATGGGATGACGCTGTGTAACAATATGAAGTATGACAGCCTGAAAATATTGATTTGTGTAACAGAGGTGAGTTTAACATTATATTATTTCTTTATGTTATAAGATATTGTTCTTTATATTTCGCAGTGTTACAACGTTTGTGTTTAAATAGATCTGTAAAAATAATTTTCTCTGGTATCTTTAAAGGGGGCCCCGAAAGAGATTAGTGCCTCGGGCCCCGAGAAGTGTAAGTATGGTCCTGCCTAAACAATCTAGTTAGTTAGTCAAAGCAGTCAAAAAATGAGAAATTACAAACACATCTACAAAGCCTTGTGAGAGTTACAACTAAAACATGAACCGAAGATAAAATGTACTGCAAGAATATTCCCAACGCTCCTGCAGTAGTAGAATGCGGTAGCAACGTGTCAAAAACATTATGCTTAACGTTTAATGAAAATTAGCTCACAATCATGTTTCACTATGTGAAGTTTTAGATTTTTGGATACTCTTCAGCAGCAGTGCTGATCTGTTGCTAGTTTAATGGAAGGAAAGTTATAGTTCAATTGTCAGGAAACTTATCAACTTGAGAATAATAAATTTCTTTGCATGGAAAAACAGAAAGAGAGAAGAACGAATTTACCTGGTAATTCGCCAGAAAGGGATACTTCAAAAGTAGTTCAAATGCACACTGCAGAGTAATTAAGAACCCGTATCAATTAACAATGTAAATGATGGCTACCAGCTTAAGAGACTGACAAATTGTGGAGGGGGGGGGGGAAAGGTGGGATGATAACCTGTTTTCAGACTTGCATACTGACAGAAGCCACAAATCACCCAAGTCTGAAACCTTGAAGAAGAAAACTGTTTTCTACTGGAATTCCTTCTAAATATTTGGTCTTCACCATCATTTTATACGGCACACGGTAGTTATTTACAAAGAACAGAGCTTAGTTTCCAAAGGATATATTATGCACACCTGCTCATTTACTAATCAATGAAACAAACACCACCATTTACGTGTTTACTGGCAGTTACATTTGCAACATAACAGTTAATTAGTTTCGTTGTAAGGGCAAATGCACGTTGTGCCAAACGATGTTCATTTTACAATATCCTTGTTCTGACTAAGAATTTCGAGATTTTCGCCAATTATTTCGATGAGAGCCACATCTGACGTGACAGAAATGCTCTTTCTTTTTCGGTTTTTGTTGCTATTTGCGACGCCTACTGGACGGATACAATGTCAGTGTAATCTTCCCAAACACCGGGCAATATCTTCATTACTAAACTCTGGGCTCTGTCCTTCACAGAGATCTGCGTAAAATTGCAGGACAAGCACTATGAATATAAATTACTAATAAAACCAAATGAAGATCATGTAATGTTAGAAACATCTAAGGCCTTCAGCGAAACCCACGCAAGAAGAACAAGAAGAAGCATACATTGTTGCCATTTGATTTAACCCAAGTATGAAGCTCGGAGTTCGAGGCCACGCTTCCACAGACGACACACACTTACAGCTTCGAGAACTGTATGCTCTCTGTCAATTAAACTAACTTAACTCGTTTTATTACATTTAATGAATATTTCGACCCTGAAGGTTCCTGTATTTCATTTCGCTTCGAAAAATAAACAAGCTATGCAATTTTGATCATTAAACAACGTACTTTTTTTTTTTAGAAACTTCAGTCTACAAAATGTAATTGACTAATTAACCGACACACAGGTAAGAGGCCAAGTGATTTATCATCCATCTACCTACTAAAGTACCATACCAACACTAGCTCATTTAGTTACAAAGTAACTAACTTCCTGAAAAAGTCTCAGGCCACAGTCCCATGTAACCACTCAACCAACTAAGTAAGTCGACTGAAGTACTGTTATTTAAAATATGTGTCAGTATCTTATTTCGGATAAAATGAAATCTTCTTCAGCTTGGTCGAGATTCAAAACCAGTCACTAACCGGTAGGCAAAAGAGTGCATCCTTTGGTAATGTTGAAGTCGCGTTTGATTGTTTCCTGCAAAGCAATTTCCACAAAGATGAACTCCCTTACTTGTAAGAACGTAACAGGATAATGAAAATTTCCCACAAATAGGCAAAACTTGATGCACTGCCATTATGTCAATGAGTTATGTTGAAATATGAAATATGTCATTGTCACGTTGTTACATA